CACATAGCGCAGCAGACCTCTCCTGACCCGCCCGCTGCTCCCCTCAGCAGTGTACTTCGTAGATCTGCCTGCTCTGCTCCTCACTCTGTCTCTGGTGAATCCTCTAACCCTCCACATCTCTGGCCTGTACCCCAGTTCTGTATGCATAAATAAATAAATCTTAAAAAAAAAAAAAGAAAAGTGTCCTTTTTTAGCTTTACTCGCCAATCACAAAGGATAAACTCATGACTTCTAGCAACATGGGTGGACCTGGAAGGGATGATGCTCAGCAAAGTAAGTCAGGAAGAAAAAACAAGAAATATCGAATGGTCTTATGGGAGGGATGCAGATAAAAGAAAAAGGGAATCAGAAAAAAAAAAATGTAACTATATTATGTCACAATCAAAACCATCTGGCAACTGTAGATCAGAGACATTCTTTAGGGCAGGAGGGGAAGGCCCGGGACAGGGGTGGGAAGAGCACAAGGGATGTGGTGATGGTGCTCGGGGGAGCTGGTGGGGGAATTTCATGGGGAAACCATGCATTGCACAGAAATGAGGGGGGATGTAATGAATGTATTTAAAAATTAAAAAAAATAAAATGTAGGGCCCTCCTTGGTGGCGCAACGGGTTAGGACACAGCACTGCAAGCTGGCCACAGCGACCTCAGTGCGAGTTCCATCCCCAGCCCAGGCGGTGACCCACATGGCGCGGCAGACCTCTCCTGACCCCACCGCTGCTCCCCTCAGCAGTGAACTTGTCGATCTGCCTGTTCTGCTCCCCACTCTGTCTAAGGTGAATCCTCTTACCACCCCTGGACCTCTGGCTTGTACCCTAGCTCCGTATGCATAAATAAATAAATAAATAAATAAATAGATAGATAGATAGATAGATAGATAAATATTCAATATAATAATCATAATAATAATATTTGCTACATAACTGAGAATTTACATAAAATAAATATGAATAAGCCATTTGCTTTTTCTGATTTAGATTTTCCCAGATGCCTTACCCTGTGTTTCAGACACTGGCCCCTATAAATCAAATGACTTCCGGAGAAGTGCAGATTTTAGCACTTCCTACATGAGTGAGTTTGAGTCAAGTGCTTAGACAACTGCTAGAACAGTCTGTAGCTTTTCATCAGTTCTCAAAAGTACCTCTGCTATAAACGACATCATTTCTGACAGTTAAAGGCAGATGGCCAGCAAGTATGAACAGGAAACTATCAGAACATCTCCACTGGCAAAAGAAGTCCCTCATCTCCGTGAGCAGAAACATAGACTTCGTGTGAAGTGTTTTAATACAAACTGTGAGCTGGAACTGAAAGAAAAACTTAATCCAAAAACTGAAAACTTTTCCCACATTCCACATTACATACTCTAATGACATATTTCTGACACTGTTGGGATACTGGTTCTTCTAGTGTCTTTTTAATACTTAACATCTAATTGGGTAAAATTCAGTGTCACCAAATGCCCTCACTGCAGTATTTTCTTTGCATTTTCGACATGTATGGCTGCGCAAACCATAGCAATGATGCTGTTTTGGAACATTCCCATCACCCCAGAATGTTCTCTCCTGCCAATGCGACATGTATCCGTACTGACCTCTGGTCAGGAATCTCCTGAACGATAAATCTGCGTTTCTGTCAATTGTTTCTGGTTTCTTAGCTGTAGAATATTGCTTTTGAGTTCATATTGCACAATATTTCTTAGTTCAATCACGGGTCTGAACACATTGCCATCCCAGGAAATAGATGATATCTCCAGTTTCTTCACTTTTCACCCAAACTCACTATCACTTTGTTATTTCTTGTAGCATTTCTTGATGGTTTTTATTTGCATTCCCTAAGTGAATAGTGATTGAGAACCTTCCCAAATACCTTCTTCATTCAATGAAATGTCAATAAAAATGTGTTATTTTTACAGTTGGATATTTGCATAAGTCACTAATCAAACACAACATTTGTTTTTCTGTGTACAACTTGTTTACAAATGTACAGTTGGTACACTGTCCCCAGTATTTAGATCTTTCTTTTATAATGGTACTCGATAAACAATTTTATTGTGTGACACCTAGTCTTTTTCATTTAGTTTTGTTGTACTATGCTTTAAGTTTCATAGGGAAAATTATTTGCTCTCTGATAATTAATATATAATTTTCTGACCTCACCATTGGTTCTGCACAGCTTTGTCATGATCTCTCTGGTGTACATCTTGTCTGTTATGATATTGCTTGCAACTCTTTGGGCCTTTAGCTCATACCTTCTGGATCCATAATGTGTTAGTTAGGAATTGTAGTCACATTAATTCTTACTTGAATGAAATTACGTGGGAAATTGAAAGGAAATTAGTGTCAATGTGAGGAAACGCACAAACCAGTTGCCTTGGTCTTTAGAACTGGGTGAATCTTGTTACTAAGCAACTAGACTTAGATTTTTATTACATCAGAGACAAAAAAGAAGAGAATTTTTTTTTTTTGTCACATGAGATTTCAAGTAAAATTCTCTTTATAATATGGGCAGCTAAAACTAACCATGTCAAATGGCTGTAGTTAGAAAGGATTATGGGACCATAATTTGCTCTGGTGAGTCATCCAAGAATTTATTTTTTAAGGAGAAGCACTAATATTATTATGCATGTATACATAAATACACAAACACACAAAAAACAGAAATCATTACCAAGATTTCTGATCTTAATGAAATATGCAACCTTTATTTTTTTCCACATTCTATTCAACTTTTGAAAATCACAAATTTGTGTTTTAGTGGATTGTTACTCAACAGGTAAGAATGAAAGTGGAAATTAAGGTAAACAAGTCAATTGGCTGCAAAGCTGGGAAGACATTTTAAGAAGGCAACAGGTCACTTGAAGTTCTTTAAAGGAAATAAACTAATGATAGGCTAGATTCTATCAAAAGTTTGTTTCTGGAGTCAATGAATAAAATAATATAATGACAAATGTAACCTGTCAAAAATATTCTCTGGAGTTCATTTTCTTGTTACCTCTTAGCAAGTCAAGGTGATAGAAATAAATTCTGGAATATTGTATTGGTTAAACAAACTCAAACAGCTCTCTATTTTTTTTTAAAGATTTATTTATTTATTCATAGAGAACTGGGGTACAGGCCAGAGATGTGGAGGGTGAGAGGATTCACCAGAAACAGAGTGGGGAGCAGAAGAGGCAGATCGACGAAGTACACTGCTGAGGGGAGCAGTGGGCAGGTCAGGAGAGGTCTGCCACGCCATGTGGATCTCCTCCGGGGCAGGCGGGGATGGAACGCATGCGGAAGTGGCTTAAAGTTCTTAGTGCAGTGCTTTAACCCGCTGCGCCACCAGGGAGGGCCACAGCTCTATATTTTTATAAAGATTTTCTATCACAATAAAAACTCATAATCCATGAAAATAATCGGCTATATTAAGAGAGCTATGGAGAACAAAAAGTTACAGTGGTTTTATTCACATTTTACAAATGTTGCACACAGATATTTCACTAAATGGACTTGCTTATTTCTGATGAATTTTTGACCCTTGATGTAATGCTCCTTCCCTTTAGCACTAGAGAAAAACCCAAGTGTTGTGAGAACTGTACTCACTTTATGATTAGAAAATGTTCAGAATGAAGTTCCCCACCAACTATCTGTAATAGAAAAGAAAATCAAAAGAAAACATCAGGCCCATTATTAAACACCCTTCAGATGAGGAGCTCTTGGTATTAAAATTCAAGCTAACATCTTTAAATCCAATAAGGAGAATCAAGGAAAATGACACAGCGCAAACTTTCACCCTAGGTTCAATGTATTGATGAGCAATTAAATACAGATCAGAAAGTTAAGAAATGTAGATCAGAAAGTTGAAAGCATTAAAAGCATAAACTCTTGAATTATCTGTTCCTCATTTCATCCTGCAGGATGCAATATCAGACTATCCCATCTCAATCTGGGTGTTTCCACATCTAAAAATCCCCCTAAATACACTCAGTGCTGTATTACTCGAGCAGTTGTGGCAGTGTGCAGCGGGAATGGCCAAGGCAGGTTAAAGGAGTGAGCTAGAGTTTTGTGATGATTGAGTCAATTCTGGTTGATATGATAAAGTAGAGGTGACTTCATGCAGGTTAAAATACACTTTTCCAAGATGAAAACATCTGAGTTGACAGCCCAACCATGGAGTAATAGTACAACATTTCTCATTGTAGGAACAGGTGTAAAGCTTGATACTATTGAGATACATTTATGTCTGCATTTCCCAAAGAAGGTGCATATGAGTAATTCTGTTTTGAGTTCAATACATTTGAGTCTTGAACTTGACTTGGGTAACTTGTCATGCCAAAATGCAAAGACTTTGCCATCTTTGCTCTTGTAAAACTTTAATCATTCCTCCCATGGGAGGAATGATTGTTTGCATTTCCAAAGATATTTAATTTTCCATCAGTGCAGTCATATGGGTCATGAGTGTCAGTCTGGCAGCAACCGCTCTTCACAGCCTCAGGGTCTCCCCCTTTGTCTGCAGTGTGGGCTCCATTCTGTCAAGTGGGCTCACGTCTTGAGCCAAGCTCTAGTCCATGTAGCCAGCCCTTTCCCTTCCCCTTGACCTGACTCAGGCCTCCTTCTGTTTTCTCCTTAGTGCTGCTGTCCTGGGGCTGTGACTCGGCCAGAGGACAGGGGTCCAGGTCAGCCCCACAGAGCGCCCAGCCAGAGGGAAGAGACATCAGTGATGCTTCCTGCCCGACGCCCCATCGCTCCCCACTAGCCCCATGTGCTGGCTTCAGGATGGCTGTGAGGGAGGCCCTGGTGCCTGGGAGGCTCCCTGACCTGCTCCTCTGGCTCAGGCTGCTTCTGTTGCTCTGTGGGGGGTGTCAGGTGGGGTACACCCAAGCCCCTGGCCCCCCAGAAGTGGTGATTCCCTGCAGGGTAACGGGCCCTGACAGAGGCGGGAGCCCCATGGACTGGCTCTCTTACAGCCTGCACTTCGAGGGCCAGAGACGCGTCATCCACCTGAGAGCCCAGAAGCATCTGCTGGCCAGACACATGCCGGTGTTCAGCTACACGGAGCAGGGCGCACTCCTGGAGGACCACCCTTTCCTCCAGAGAGACTGCTACCATCGCGGCTATGTGGAGGGGGACCAGGAGTCCCTTGTTGTCCTCAGCACCTGTTTCGGGGGCCTCAGGGGAGTCATACAGACCAATGACATCATTTATGAAATTGAGCCCAAGAAACATTCTACCACATTTGAACACTTGGTGCACAAGTTGGACAGTGAGGAGACAGTCCCTCCCATGAGATGTGGACTAACAGACGAGGAAATCGCACGCCAGCTCCAGTTTCTGGAGGGCAGGGATGCCACCCTGATGCAGAGCGGCTATGAAGGGTGGTGGACCCACCAGCAGATTGTGGAGGTGGCCGTGGTGGTAGACCACAATCGCTATCTTTACAAGGGGAGAAATGTCTCAGATGTGTACGCAGAAGTGTGCCTCGTTATCAGTGGTGTGGGCAGCTTTTACAAATCCCTGGAAGTTGAAATAGTTTTAATCGGCATTGAGGTCTGGACGGAATGGAACCCCTTTCCAGTAGATGAGATTAACAGTTTCTTGTTCGAATTTTGTGTATGGAAGAGTCAAGGCTTTGACTTCCGCTTGCCACATGATGTCGCACATGCTCTTGTAAATCAAAATTATGATGATTATCTTGGCTTAGCCTATGTAGGAGGAGTATGTAGTCGTGGGTATAACTGTGCGATCGAGAGTTTCACTTCTAACCAGCTGTATAAAGTTGCATACATTGTGGCACATGAGCTTGGTCATAACTTGGGAATGTCCCATGATGATAGCTTTTGTACATGTGGAAGAAGAAATTGCATAATGTTTCCTGAAAAAGTGAGTGCAACTAAATTTAGCAACTGCAGTTATGCTTCCTTTTGGAATTATGTTGGTCAAACAACATGTCTACAGATAGCTTCAGATATCATCTTCAAGCACAAACGCTGTGGGAACAGTGTGGTGGAAGAAGGAGAAGAGTGTGACTGTGGTTGCATCAATGAGTGTGCAAAAGATCCCTGCTGTCAGTCAGACTGCACCCTAAGCCCCGGGTCTACTTGTGCCTTTGGACTTTGTTGCAAATACTGCAAACTCAGACCACCAGGCACATTGTGCAGGAAACAGGAGAACCAGTGTGACCTTCCAGAGTGGTGCAACGGGACATCATCATTCTGTCCCGAGGACGTGTACGTGCAGGATGGGTTCCCTTGCTCAGACAGTGGCCACTGCTATGAAAAGAGATGCAACGACCGTGAGGAGCAGTGCAGGAACATTTTTGGCAAAGAGGCCAAGAGTGCAAATCACAGATGCTATCATGAGATGAACACTCGAGGGGACCGCTTTGGGCACTGTGGTTTCAAAGGTGATACCTATGTAAAATGTGATATGGCAGATGTCCTGTGTGGGAGGGTTCAGTGTGACGATGTGACAGAGATTCCTGTTCTGAGTGATCACACTACAGTGCACTGGACACACTTTAATGGGGTGTCCTGCTGGAGTACAGACTACCATTTTGGAATGACCACTCCTGACATTGGGGAGGTTAAAGATGGTACGGTGTGCGGCGTTGACCATATTTGCCTCAAGAGGAAGTGTGTTCCTGGGGTACTTTGGAACAATTACTGTTCCCGGGAGACCTGCAACATGAGTGGGATCTGTAACAACAAAAATAACTGCCACTGTGACCCTACATGGGAACCCCCCACATGCCAGGAAGCAGGATACGGAGGTAGTGTGGACAGTGGCCCACCCCCTCCAAGAAGATTTACTGTAGAAGGAAACGTAACATACCTTTATGGATTTTGGTTGATACGTTTATATTATCTTATATTGTCTGTGCTTTTTGTGGTTTTGCTGACATATGAAACAAACAGCCAAGAATTACCAGAACTTACGAACTAACTTAAGATGAGCAAATATTTCCAACCTCAGTCAAAAGCAGTAAGGAATATTCTGACTTCACATGAGAAAAAACATATGAATACAAAAACACAGTTCAATCCCTCATGAAATTTTCCATATATTAATTTTTAGACTCTTTGAAATAGCAATGTTACACCATGTGCCATTAGTTATTGACTGAAATCCCAGGTGTTTTCATTTCAGTTTCATAAACCTGAGCTATTAAACCATTTGCAAAATATGTCAATTCTTCAACTATATTTACTTCCCCTTATTGAAACAATTTTAATTCATTTATTTCATGAAATTTATACTGCTCACCCCCCTCACACCAGCCAAGACACAGCTCATTGATGGAGTGTGTGTGTCTATTGAGTTTACTGGATCCTAATTTCATAGAGAAATCCCTCTGGTTATCTGTTTTTTTCTCACAGAGAATCTTCCACTACAACACTGATTGCCTTTGTTTTGTTCTCTATATTCCATATGGAAGTGACAGCATCTATAGTTGTCTTTCTACTCTGATAAATGTTGCTGAACATAATCCCCCTCTGTTTCTATACATGTTTTCATCGATGGCAAGACTTTGTCTTTTGCATGACTCACGCTGTATTCCTTTGGCATAGATATCATATCTTCCTGATCCAATCATCTCTTGTTGGTACTGACATTGTTCCCTTAGCTTGGGTATTGCAAGTAGTGCTGCAATTAACCTAGGCAATAAACCAATTCCCTTTGATTAGTATTTTTCTATTCTTGGGTAACATCTAGAAGAGGAATTGCTGGATCATCTGGTAGGTCTTTGTGTGTGTGTGTGTGTGTGTGTGTGTGTGTGTGTGTGTGTGTGTGTGTGTGAACTTAAAATAATCTGAGATTGATTTTTCTGGAATACTCACCAAAGTTCACAAGTTGAGCTACTCTGAAAAGGAAATAGACTAGATGAAGGTATGGGTAAGACAATAACTGTCAATAAATCACAGGAGATTGCAATGTTTCATGGTTAATATATGATATAAGATTATGGCTGATAAGGAAATTTGTCTTAATTTATAATATGTCACATTTTTAAACAATGGTTAAAATTATAGGTAATAATATATTAGAACAAATCAAACTTTTAGTAAGCTTGCAAATTTTAGAATACTTACTTGTCTATGTTTTCATACAGTTTAACATGTAAAATTAATATGTCAACTATGTCTCCTTTTACAAGGAAGGAAAACAAATTTAGGAATGATATTGAGATTCCTCTGAAAAATAGTTCACAGTAACTAATAAAAAAAAAACTATCTGGAATTGACTTCCAGGTAGTTTGTTAAAAGTATTGAAAAATCTTTAAAACACTTTAGATTACAGAATATTATGAGATACAATTGCATTTAACCAAAGTGTTAAGACTTCAATGGCATATGCAAATTTTACATTGGCCTAATAAATGTTCGCCAAAATATTTACAAAATTAGGCCAAAAATTAATTTGCATACTAAATTAATTTTAAAACTCGATGATAAGAAAAATAGATGGTACAACATTTTGTTTTCTTATATAGGGTGTTATAAGGCAAAGGAAAGACTTTCATGGTCTCTTCAAGAATAGCTAACAGTGTAAGGAAACTTAGTTCTTTTAACTTAAAGAAAAGCAAGTTATAATTATTATTATATTTTGATATCACCATCTGATATTTACAAAATAGATTATTTATCCAATGCCCCTCATGAAAAACTTGAGGTGGTAGAAATGGAAATAAATTTAAATATAAAATTTCAATATAAAAATGTAGGGAATACAAAATTCTTTTGAACACATTTTAGTGATATATCCATTATATACAGAGGGACTTGAGCTGTGGCTTGGCCTGAATAAACAGTAAAACACATAAAAGAATGTGAAATGCATCGTCATAATGGAGCCACACAGATTTCAGAACAACCAAAACCTAAAGTTATAAAAACTGATAGGATTTGTCATAATTAAAAATTCTCACTGCCCATAACATTGCTTAGAAAATAAATCAGAATAAGTAAAATCGACACCCTGGTAAAATGTGGAGCTTCCCAATTTTTAATGATTATTAGTTAATGAAAATGGCATCATTGTGACAGAAAAGGTTATGGCAACTTGTTTTAAAAACTAAAAACAGAAATTTCCACTTATGTCTCATAGCAATTAAGCTGACCATGTTTGAAAATAATACATATTTATGCCATTATGAAGATAAAATAATGAACGTAAACTCTTAAAAAATTTCTCAGATGCATGTCCCTGTTAAACAAAAACTACAAATATAAGTAAGCTCTTTATTTAATCCATTTTAGGACTTCTCATGCAAAACAACTGAATTTAATGAAATTATCTTGCAATCTCGTGCCAAAAAGTAGCCAAATTCTATGTCCTCTCAAATTTTAAACACACAAATAGCTCAGCTATGTTATAATTGTAATTGTTTATCCCCATAAATAAAATTGAATTCTGCTTTTATCAAGATTTGAAGAGTTTTTCGAGAAAATTTCTAATTTTTCCTAGTATGCCATTAGACCAATTTCAAAAAGCAGGTTTTGTATTACTTCTTCATCTTTGTCAGGTGGTTACCTATTAACATGAAAAGAAAAACTACTACCTATTAACATGAAAAGAAATACTATGTATTTAGGCCTGTTAAAAAAAAAAAAAAAAAAAACTGTAGGCCCTCCCTGGTGGCACAGCAGGTTAAAGCACTGCACTAAGAAGCTGAAACCACTTCCGCATGAGTTCGATCCCCGCCTGTCCGGGAGGTGACCACATGGCGTGGCAGACCTCTCCTGACCCTCCCGTTGCTCCCCTCAGCAGTGTACTTCGTCGATCTGCCTGTTCTGCTCCCCACTCTGTCTCTGGGAAGTCTTTCGCCACCCCTGAGTCTCTGGCCTGTACCCCAGTTCTGCATGCACAAATAAATAAAAATCTTAAAAAAAAACCAAAACAAAAAACAATGAAATAGAACAGAGACACACAGTCAACTGATATCCATTGGGAAACAATGTATCTGTGTGTCTCCCTTACACTGTACCCTAAAACCCCTGGAGAAGGACTGATATCATGGACATCAAAGGTAAATGAATAAACTACCAAATGAATATGGGAAACAATAACTTTACAAACAAGCAACAAACTAAATTACTTGAAGTAAAATTGGTAAGTGAAAACACACTCTATTAAATGGAATAAGCAGGTCTTTTAAAAATAAAATATCATTATAAATGAAAATAATTCACCTGATATTTCAAGAATATGCTTTTAAATGCATGTCTAAAAATGCTTCATATTGAGAAAATAGTGGCCTCTTACCACAATAATATTAAGGAAGTATTCAAATAGAAATTGACCAGAGAACTTACTCTCTTTGTAAAAGAGTCTCTCCTATAACCAGTAAACACTTGAAAAGATACTAAACATTTTAGTTATAGGAAAATGTTAATGGAAAGGTAATTTGATAACATTTTATCTACTGCAGATAGGGAAGATTAATATTTTGATCAGGATATCAAATATAAGCAATATTATGTGTCATTTATATTCAAACACATGGGTGTCTGTTTGCATGACATGATACCCCCTGGATAAGATTTAAACTATTTTGAATCCCTAAGCACCTATGTATATATTCTGAGCAATTATTATCTGATGATAGGTCCAGTGGAAAACACTTCCAAATTTTACAAATGACATGTACTAAAATGAGCATATATTAACCAGAAAGTCTGAAACCTGCAACCATGTTTCCATCAAAAAGTGTCCCACTTTCCATTTCTTTTCTCCCACTTCCATTATGTTATATCGACGAAACAAAGGAAAACGTAAGAAAGAAAAAGTTAATCTTAGTTAATTATAACTTTTGTTTTTACACATTTAACATTTATTCTTTATCTACCTGTAAATATTTTACATGTTTTATGGTTTAAATATCAGTTTGTATTTTTATGACTCTTTTTATGATAAATATTTATGACATGCAAAAAAAAATATCCTGGATAAATAACTTGTGGCATAAAACATGTCACAAAATGTGTGACTTACAGCATATTGACTATTCCAGAATATTGAATATTGCTACATGTCTCCTTGTTCTACTCATCTGATCTATCATTGTGATCAGTGTGCCTTTACAGGTCACCCTTTTTTCCTCTTGATATTTGTAATAATCTGTCTTTGCCACTATTCGCCACAGCTTTGTCATAGTCTGTGTTGGTGTCTGTAATGACTTTGTTTGCAACTCCTTAAGACTTTGGATCACACCTTCTGGTTCCTTAAATGTCAATTAGGAAATATAGTTAGCTTTACTTAAATTGAAGATAAATTATGTGGGAAATAGAAAGAAAATTGTAGTCAATGTGAGGGAAAACATCAACCAATTTCCCTGGTCTGTAGAACTGGGTGAACCTGTTACTAAGCAACTAGATCTAGAATTTGATTACATCAGAGACAGAAGGAGTAAGATTATTTTCTTTATGTCATGTGAGCAATAAAGTAAAATTCCCTACTCTTAACATGGGCAGAAAATCTAACCATGCATCTGAGTGTAGTTAGAAAAACTATGGGAACCATCTACCTTCTGCTGGTGAGTCATTCAAGAATTATCTGTAAAGAGAAATACTAAATACTTGTATACCTGAGTACAAAAACACACAAACCACATGTGACTTTATCAAGATTTCTGGTCTTCAGTAAGATCTGCAACACTTATTTCCCCCCCCCCCCATTGTACTCAATGTCACTTGTTTGCAAACACAGAATTATGTTTTGGTGTATTATTACTCAATAAGGGTAACAACGGAAGTAGAAATTAGAGTACAGAAATTGATAACTTGGTGAAATGGGAAAAAATTATAGAAGACAATGTTAACAGTTCAATTGATATAGTGCTTTAAAAGTGATAGCACAGCACTTGTAGAAAATACTATACATTTTCAGGAGGTATGTTCCTGAGTTACTGAAAAAAAAAAATAACATAAGGAAGCCAAATGTAG